GAACAGGTGGAATTTTTGCAACTCATTTACACACTTTTCCTGAAGATAGAAGAGTTTGTTGAATCTGATGTGACATGTTCGTACGAACCCTTCATACGAACAAAAGGAAGAGAAATTTAGGATAAGAATACAAACATGTTCTTGCATGAGGCCCAGTGTGCGCAACCTGGGAGTAAATCTTGATTCAGATCTATCACTAGATAAACACACAAACACATAAAGAACCTGGTTTCCACTTGCTATTTTCAGCTCCATAATCTCTAAACTCCCGCCCCTGCTGTCCACTTCAGATTTGGAAATGGTAATTCATGCCTTCATTTCTACCCGCTTAGACTATTGTAATAGCTTGTTCACCTGCCTAAACCAGAAACGGTTAAATCATCTTCAGCTTGTCCAAAACTCGGCAGCAAGACTCCTAACTCGAACCTCCAAATTCACCCACATCTCCCCGATCCTAGCAGAACTTCACTGGCTTCCGGTTCAGTTCAGAATCCGGTTCAAAATCCTGGTCCGCACCTTCAGAGCTCTTCATGGCCAAGCACCTGACTACATTAAAAGTCTCATTACCCCTTACAACCCCAGACGGGACCTCCGCTCACAGGATCAAAATCTCCTTATGGTTCCCCTTACTCGCTTCAAGACTCTTGGTGACTGTGCCTTCTCCTCTGTGGCCCCCAGGCTCTGGAATGAACTCACTGTTAATCTGCGCTCCCTCGATAACATTGTCTCTTTCAAGACTCTCCYAAAACTCACTTTTTCTCTCAAGTGTTTAGCTAACCTTTCACTATTGCTGCCAGCCTACCTCCATTGTGAATGCTTGATAATCTGTGTTTTCTTTATTATTGAACTTGCGCCATATCTTCTCTTCCGCATTCATTATGTTTTTGTATATTGTATATTTTGACCTGCATTGACCTTGTGTTTGATTTACAGTTTTAGAAATTAATTCTTGATTTGATGTTTCAATTATCGTTGCTTATGTGTAATTGTTTTTGTTTCATTTTATTCTTTCCACCATTTCTATACTGTTAATGATTGTACAGCACCTTGTGAATATATTTCTGTGAAAGGCGCTTTATAAATAAARCTTTACTTACTTACTTACTAATATTTCTTCACCAAGACAAGATTGGCCTTATATAGTTGACTGTTGCTGAAGCTTCAAATTTTTCAGCTGAGTTTTAAAAGCTTTATCCACTTACCTGTGGTCGGATTACAGATGCAACAGGACAGACGCACACAAAAAGTGTTTTCCTCGTGGGGACTTTGCATTCACTTTTATTTCAGTAATTTCTTTACCCTAAACCTAACTGCCGCAGTACACGTGACCCTAAATCTTGGCTAAACTTAATTCGCACCTTGGACCTAAACCTACCGCCCCCCGCCCCATAATCAGCGGCCGTGGGGACCCGTCTCCTTCCGAGGATATGTGCCTGGGAAAACCTCCAGAAGGAGGTACTTAGGAGGCAKCTTAGTCAGACACCTGGGCCACCTCAGCTGACTTGAGCGCCCTGCAGATCTCCACACCTTATCTCTGAGTTCAGCCCTGTCACCCTGCAGAGGAAGCTCACTTCAGCCGCCTGTGCAGAGTTACAAAAATTTGGAGGTGCACGACCATGCACCGTGAAATCGCGCGGGACAATGTGAAGGGCCGGGGACAGAGTATCAATGTTGGCACATGCACCTCTCACGTCGAGTTCAACACGTCAACTAAAAACTGAGCTTTAGAACAGGGGTCCCCGAACTTTTTCCTGTGAGGGCCACATAAYTTTTCCCTTGTCTGATSGGGGGCCAGGGTCAGTTTGTAACAAAGTGTGACAGTCGCAGGGGTGCCTTAACGTAAACATTTATTGTTTTCCAGAAACCAGGAAATAAATAATACAATTAATGAAATAAACAATACTATTTATGAAATAAATAATAACCAATTAACCCTCTCTGGGATCTTTGCAGAAAATAAAATCAGGAAATAAATACAACTATCTGTGAAATAAATAACCCTATAGGAAGAGGAAGATGCCCTTCATCTCTGTGACTTGGGACGGGCAGCACATTATTTTCCATATTTGACCATTTTGAAAGGTAACTGAGTCAGTAGCAGGTGTGTGTGTGTGTGTGTGTGTGTGTGTGTGTGTGTGTGCGCGTCACATTGTGCCTGGTGTGGGACAGATGCACTGTTTTTCAGCACCGTGCGCATCGCGCTCCTGTGGCTGTATTTGTGTGAGGTGCACTGATGAGGTTTTCTCTGATAAAATAGTCAAGGATTCACAGGGCAGACTAAAAAAATCAGAATGCCTCTCTGGTATTGTTCAGGGGGGCAGGCCGGAGTTTGAGGACCACTGCTTTAGAAGATAAATAGACGAGTGGATCTTCACCAGAACGGACCAGATCAATACCCTTATACTGTAGAGAAGAATCCAATCGGTAATCTTCTGCCAACCCCCTCCCCCAGGAGCATATTGGATAAGAAAATGATAAAGAATAGAGCCGTGGAATCAGACTTTGTAAGGATGCAGTTGTTTAATAAGAGAGTCAAAAATTGACAGCTTGAAGGTACACAGTTCAGAGTGTGTGTGAGGGACTTCCTTCAGGATCTGTTTTGTGCTGTTTTAATACATTATATAACAAGTGTTTGTCAGAGTACACGTGATGTTCTCATGCAATCTAGGGTGTTTTTTTTTCTTTTGTTTGTTTTTTGATTTTCCAGGTCACTTCAACCTTTTGCAAACTCCATTTTCCTTCCTGACGATARCAAGACTATTTTCCCCAAATCCACATGCAGACTTTTCCCTTTTTTTAAAAAAAGGAACACGTTTTTGTAGGCAATACACACCTGTCACAGTCAACTCTTTTTAAATGCTTTGTGTGTTGCAGCTTGGCAACTAAATTTGGGAGCTCACATCAAGTTTGTCTCAACCAAATCTGGACTTGTTTTTGACTTTGACCATCTGGCTACACTTTTCTGACAGAACGCCAGGCCATTTTCACTTATTCTTCTTAAAGAAGCAATTATTCTGACATGCACATGAACTAGCTGCCACTTCATAATCACATTGCTGAATTTAGACAGACTGAAGGTAAATCACATCTGGTTAAACAACGTGAGATGGTGAGGAATCAGACGTGGCCTTTTTAATTATTTTTTTAATCATGACTAACAAACATGTTCAGGTTTTGTTTTTGATTAGCTTTTTTAAAATTGGTCTCATAATGAAGAGAAGCCTTTAAGTGGTATTAATCAATGCATTTATTTTATTTTTTTAGGTGGTTGAGGTGAATGAAAATGTATATGATAACATTTCAAAACGAAGCTTTCATCCAGGTAAGACCTGAAATTTGAGTTTTTTTTGTTTTCCTGCATTTTTAAGTAAATTGTAATCACAAAATATGATGCGAGTCCTTAAGAATGTTTAAATATATTTATAGTACTAATTACTTATGTTGGTTCCATTTACTCCAGTAAGAGTGTTCCGGTTTATGAAGCACATCTGTTTCAAAAGACTAAAATAGGGAAGTTGACCCTTTCTGACGGGGGTGGGGGAAAGAAAACGGAACCAGATAGAAACTCCCCAGCTCTGATTGACTTGTAGCTAAAATTAATAAACTGTTCAGGGTGAAGCCTCTAACTGATGAGACTTTTTTTTTCCACTACAGTATTTTCTGTGGAACATACTGTACCTTCAGGTCTCTTTCTATCTCTGTTGCAGTTCACACATTAAGGTTACTACTTCAGCAAACCAGCGAGAGGGAGCCCCTTTCAACATCAGCACTGTCACCTGTAAAAGCCCCAGCTACATTTAAAAAACATGTCACCTTTGTGACGGAAAATAACAAGGTCAGCACGTTTTCTTGTGATCTGTTTTTGAAGTAACGTTGCAATACTGGATGCAATGAAAACAAATTCTTCCCAATTGTCAGCTGGTGCAGAAAGTGCATTCATAAGAAAGTAAGAAAGGTTAAATGTGTAATTTAAGCCAGTGTGTAAGTGTTATATCTGCTTCAACCTAGATTATTTTAATTAGATTTTTAAGGTGTGTGTGTGTGTGTGTTTAGGATGACATTTGTTTTAACTAATGGACTGGGGATTGAGAAGTCAAAATACTCTGACTTTATTAGCATCTCATTTGTTTAAGTTTGTCTCCGAGCAAAATGGGAGCTGCTTTACCAAACAGACCATTTTTAATACCGAAAATTGATAAAAGCAGGAGCAGTAAAGTAAACTATTATAACAAACCACTCAATAAGGCCAAAGTATTACTGGTTAGAGGGGAAAAAACCAAAACAATCTTAAATTACTATGATAAAATGTTTTATGTCAAGATTAAATTTTATTTTTTTCAACCAAATAAAGGAGTTAATTTCTTTTCAAGGTTATAATGATTGATCCAGAAGACCATGGGACAGCCACGCCAAAACCAATCTGSGAGAAACCCATACGTCCCATCCTAAAATGGCCATCCACTGTTCACCCACAACTTGGACAGAGAAATACAGCTGCTTCCAAGTTGGCACATGCGAAGAAATCGTTTGGAGAAAACGCTACTCTTGCAGTTAACCTTCATATAAATGTTCCTTCTGCTCCCCACCTCCCCACTGCCATGCCTGAAGAAAAGAAGCCGCTTAAAGAGCCTGCGAACAAGATGGCGCTAAGTGGAAACGTCTCTAAAGTTGGCACGTGTTTGCTGTATATTCAAATTCATCCAGTACATTTGTGTGGACGAGGTTCCTTTCGATCTTAATCAGACATTTTTGCCTCTTAATTTACAGGCTTAAACCAGCTGCAGATAGTGTCCTGTGAGGGGAAAAAACAAGTGTACTGTCTGCTGTGTGCAGCCAGGTTGAGAAGCTCCAGTCACCCCTCCAGCTACAACCACYGCTATAACTATGTGGTACGTACTTCACTGAAGAGGAGGTGTTAATAATTCAACTGTCTAGTGCCAGACTTGTCTGTGCTTGGCACCCCCAAACAGCATTAGTTTCTGGCAGGGAACCCCACCTTGCAAACTCACAAATGTAAAGAAACATCAACTTTTTTAGAATGTTTTCTCACTTTTATTTACTATACAATAATTATTACATTTGTTTAGAATTAAGAATTTAATTAAAAACCAACTTTACAACAAACTGTTAACAATAGGAACAGAACAAACCTCTCAAGCTCTCTTGAATAACATTGCACTATTTTAAATTATATCTTTGATTATTAAAAAACAAATTTGATTTTATGATTTAAAACATTCATTAAACTTTTTTAAATCTTATGTTAGGGCTATTCAACTAAACTACTCCAGGGGCCACAGTTACTGCAGGTCAACAGCTCAGGGGCCGAACATCCAGCAGTTAAAGTCATTATGTAAATAAAGCAAGTATTACAAAGATCTGTTACCTTTTGAAATAGTGTATTTTTGCTACATTTAATCATGAATACAACATACAGAACCCTATAAAAGTAGTGATCAATAAACAATATCAAAAACAAAAAGAACACATAACCCCTATTTGACACAAATATTATTTTGACATCTCTGACTTGCCATATTTTTAAACCAATTTTATTTTCACTTTCATAGTTTTATCTACAACTGCTTGTAATTTTAACTGTTTTTAGTGTGCATAGAAATGTTTTTTTTTTACCAACTTGTAGCCAAGATTCTGWTGTTTCTGTAGATACCAAACATGTCTGTCTAACTAAAAGAACTTAAAGCAATTAAAGTAGAAAACTGGGGGGTTTGAGCTTAAGAGATGAATGAACCAATTGGAGGGCTGAATTTTGGTCACTCGCGGGCTGGATGTGGCCCGCGGGCTGCCATTTGAGTAGCCCTGTCTTATGTGCACTTCAGCTTTCTGGGGCCCCCTAGTTTCCTTCAAGGGAGCTTTGACTCCCACTTAGAACGTGTGTGTGTGTGTGTGTGTGTGTGTGTGTGTGTGTGTGTGTGTGTGTGTGTGTGTGTGTATATTTGCTGACATATTAAAATATGGGGTAGAGTTGTCTTGGGTAATTAAAAAAAAATCAAGGTCCCTACGTTTGTCGTCTTTGTAACCTTGCATAAAGCATACAAGATGTTCTCTCACTTGTTTTGACTTGAGGTTTAAGTCTTGCTTCTTTTGACTATCTTTTTTAATTCACCACAACCTTTATGCTGTTATTTATTCATTTCATTTGTTTAACTGTGTCCTCTTTGACCTTACTAGAAAATGAWGTACCCTGGATTGACTGCAAAGCCGTTGGAGAATAAGCTGAACAGCATAGTGGCTCATTTAGCTGAGGTTGAAAGAGACGTTGGGTTTCAGAGCCCTCAGGTGAAGAGCTCAAACACAAAGTTTTCATCTAAAAACGTTTTTAATAGATTATCGTCACTTTTGAGATCCTAAAGAAAACTCTGCATAATTCTGGTTAGACTGTAACGAACAACCTGGTTCTCAAAACTAACTGTATTTTTTATTACTTAGAGAACCTAAGTGTTTGTATTTTCATCTATTTAATTCATTAAGCCTGAGTAGCTTGCTTGATTTTAAAGTCTCCTATATATTTTTTTCTTTCTTCCCTCACCAACTAGAGAATGGAAGTGACGAAGGATGTGTACCTAAAGCTGGCTGCTCTTACAGAAGATAAAGGTGCAGATATTTGAAGATTTGTACCAACTAAATCATTTTATCCTGAACTGAAAATGAAAGACAAATGCAACTATTTTACACCTGAGATCAGTGGTTTAGGACTTTAACTAGCTGACAGTATCTGAGTTAAGTTCATTTATGTGACACATTTTCTGTGTTTACCATGTTGTTGTAGAGTCCTGTGAAATGTAACTAAGTTTTGTTTTACGTACCACACAGTTAAACATAATGTTGTGTTCATTGACCTGTAGGTGCCAAGTTTCTATCAGAAATGCAGTTTGACTTTAACTTCTTTCTTCTAAGATCACACTTAAATGTACCAACTTCTGTGGGGGTGAATAATTTATGGTCTGTTAATTTTCATTTTATTTGATTTGTATTTTTTGTTGTATGTGAATGTGTTTTTTTTTTTAATGAAATGAATACATTTCGGTTTGAGAAATTTCTAGCCGAAACATGAGAGGTTTCGGCTAGAAATT